TATGTTAAATTTTAATCTAAAGTTTATATTTGAGAAGTAAAAAAGTCAAATTAAATCTATCAAAAATAAATAAAGGGAGCATATAATGAATACATAACAATTAAAATTTTTTTTAATTCAAATAAAAATATTCAATAAAAACCATAAAAAGAAGAAAGTAATTTTTCAAACTTTATATAAAAATTAAATTGAAATAATTAAATCAGATTATATAAAATAATTTTTATCAAGTATTTTTATTTTTATAAAAAATAAATTATATCATTTATATACTGTATTATAAAAAAAAGTGTCATCTATAAATATGTGACTCGAGAAATAAAATCCAGTATGTAACTTTGAATCTTTTTTACCACTAATTTTACACTTTGACTTGTCTTTTTCTATGCGGGCACCTTCCAGGAAAGATGTGCATACCTTTTTGCTCATCAACACCCCTGCATTATTGAGTCACCAACTACCGCTAAATTCCTTGCTTCTTCTTTTCATCCCAACCGATCCTTAATCTCATTCATCGATCTTTCTAGCAAAAAACTCTCCTCTTTTCGATATTCCTTTTCTGCTAAATCTTCTTGTTCAAACGGATCTCCACTTGCATATTCAGCTCCGATCCAGTTAGCATTCAGAACCAAAGCTTAAGGCAATGGAGGTATGTACGTAAATATATTATATATTTATGCTTCTAATTTATCTCCATATATTTTTGCTTCTTATACCTATTACAGTAGAATATCTCAAAGAGAGTTGCAACCTTCCCATTACTACTGATTTTTTGCTTTTTAATTAGCTAAGAGTTACAATATAAAATTATTTTAATTACAAATAACTCAATCAACACTTTAAACTTCTAATATAATTAATCAATACAATTCACATTAATCCCTTTAAAACAATTTTATTGGAAAAACTAACGCGATAACGGTCAAATGATGTTGGCAAAAATGAAATTACTACCTCTATTCAATTTTCGTAGTATTTTTTATTTTTTAAATAAAAATTTTAAATAAAAATTTAATATATGATATAAATAATAATTAAATTTTTTTAATCAAATAACAATACTTAACAAGAATTAGTATAAAAAAAATTGAATTTTGATTCACATAAATTGTTAAATTTTATTTAAATTTTGTATTTAAAAATTTTAAAATTAAATTAAAACTACTAAATTTAAATAAAATAAATTATTAAAAGTCCCAACGTTTTGCTGATAAATATTACTCCAAAATCCAAATCAACGGAAGTTGTTCTCTGGATTTCGGTTTTAGAGATTTTTTCTGGCCACCAGAAAAAAAGTGTACGGCGACGTTTTGCATTGGAATCTCTCGTGCATTAATTAAAAAACAACACTTATTTTTTTTGATAAATAAAGTAATATTACGGAAATAGTTTCATACATGACAGAATAAAAAGTTAAAATTTTTTTAAATTTGTATATTAAAAATATAAGTTAAAAATATATTTATTAAAATTTTTTATTATTAATTTAAAAAAAAATTAACTTTAATTTTATTAATTATTTAATTGAAATATTTCATGTAACATTAATATTAAAAATAAATTTTATTTTTATAATTTTTTATAAAAATTAATAATAAAAAATATAATAAATGTAAACTTTACCCAAACCATACCTTTGGAAAAACCCAGAAAGTAATTTCATGTCTGTTTTTCTTTGGTTCTACTCTTTCTGACGTCTTATTTGGTGGTATATATGTTACAGTCGACTGTATCTGCAGTCGAATCAAATAATTTCACCATTTTTTGTTTTTTGGATGGCAAAAACAATTTAGACCTTTGTTTCTTTGTATTTGCAGCACCATCCAGTGAGGAGACCCAAATACTTTGCCTCTCGTTCATCAACATCTCTGTTCTGCGTTCTTCAGTTTGAGTTGCCCAACTTCTAATTCTTCACTTCCTCTCCATTTCAAACTCTTCATCTCAGTTTCCACCATAAACACTCTCCTTTTTACTTTTAGATATATATACTTTCTTGTTAAAATTTCTTGTTCCCTCTTCCAAAAAAAAAAAAAAAAAAAAAGGGAAAGAAAAAAGAAAAAAAGGGAAAAAAAAGAGGTACTGTTGTTCAAGCGCATCTCCACTACTTGGATTCAGTTCTAAGTTAGCATTCAAAAGTAAAACTCAAGCTAAAGGCTAAGGTATGTCTATAATTAATTTTAATTATGTTAATTTCTATTTTTGTTTGTATACTTTGGCATTGTAGCTCAGAGTTGCAAACTTCTCCTGAATACATATTTTTGTTTAATTTTTAATGACAGTGCACGTTTTTTATGGTCACAAAATTTATTTTAAAACAAAGGAAAATTACAAGCAAATTCCTATTATAAGATCAAAAAACTAGACCTTGTCACTAATAACAGAAGATTTTGTCCATAATAAATATGAACAGTTAGGCTTATAAAGGGCTGATTCAAAAAAAAAAAAAAAAAGAAAGAAAGTTGGGTTTGAAGGGCAAAATAGAATTATGAAAATAGAAAGATCACCATTTGAAGTTGTTCTAAGCTAATGGTTTAAGCTATTCATAGCAATCACACTCACTATGCCAATTTAATAGGGTAGAGTGAAAAGCAACAAAATAACAGTACCCACTTAGTACAACTTAATTAGGTAAAAAATTGCAGAGAAAATGTTTGAATGAGAGTGTAAACCAGACTATTATTAATGGATTTGGTAATTGCTACATGTATATCCTTTTTCCATTCTAAACTCCTCGTCTATCCGCCATAAAACTCTCGTCTTCTTTCATGTATATCCTTTTTCCTTGCTATATTGTTGTTTCTTGAACATTATTCCTTATCTTTGCAGTATGTCATTGTTGTATTTTAATAAAAAAATAATAAAAATAATAAATAAATTTTTCAAAAAATATTAATGAAAATATTTTAAAAATAAACATGAAAATATTGTTTACTTAAGAATGATTTATGTCTCTATAGAGAATAAATCTACAAACCTAATAGGAAGTATACATAATATATCACCTCTAAAATACTACAATTTTATAATAAAAAATTTGCACTACCCATTAAGTTATTTAATTTAAAGCACCATTCTTTACCCAAGAACAATTAGAAAATGAAATAATATATTAGAATAGAAAAATGTGAAAGAACTTCACTTCAAACATGTAACTTTCATTAT